GTGCTCGCCACAGTCCTGCTGCAGGTAGACTTCCTCCTCGCGCTGACGGCGGGTTACATCTCGCAGATAGAGATTCAAGGACACTTGGGCCAGGTGGAGGAGTCGGAGGATGAGGTGGCGCAGGAGGCAGAGGAAGATGAGGATGACGCGGGTAAGGTGTCGGATGGGGAAGCGATGGTGGAGGCCGGGGATATGGATGGAGACGGAAGATGATGAGGAGTATGCGGACGTGTTGAAATGATCTGAGTGAGAGGAGGAGAAGGTGAGGATCAGGGAATAGGGATGGTGAGGAGAGAGGAGAGATGGAAGGAGGGGAGGAGGGGCGTATGGACGAGTGATGTTGATGGTGATCATGATGATGTTGCTGCTGATGATGACGATGATGGTGGTGGTGATGATGCTGCTGATGATGATGACGACGAGGATGCTGCTGCTGATGATGATGCTGATGCTGATGATGATGCTGATGATGATGATGCTGCTGATGATCTGCTGATTTTAACGACGATGATGATGCTGCTTATGATGATACTGATGATGATGATGATGCTCGTGACGATGGTGATGATGATGAGGATGGTGCTGACTCTCATGCTGATGATGACGACGATGACGATGACGATGACGCTGACGATAATGATGATGATGCTGATGATGATGATCATGATGACGATGATACTGACGATGATGATGGTGATAATGATGATGCTGCTGATGCTGATGCCGATGCTGATGATGATGATGCTGCTGATTCTGATGCTGGTGGTGGTGATGATGATGCTGAGGCTGATGATGCTGATTCTGATGATGATGCCGATGCTGATGATGCTGCTGCTGCGGATGCTGATGCTGATGCTGATGCTAACGTTGCGGATGATGAGTATGATGACGATGATGACAATTTGCGAGGATAAAGATGCTGATGTGTCGTGATTGAATTGTGTTGTGTGTTGTGATTTGTGTTTTTTACATGGAATCTTGAGATTGTGTTGATGCGTTTGTGATGATGTTGTGTGTGTGTTTGATTGGCTAATGTTGACGGACGCTGACTACGATGATGATGCGCATGTGATGCTGACGATGATGATGTTGATGTTGCTGGATGGTGATGATGATGATGATGATGATGCTGCTGATGGTGCTGATGATGATGCTGATGATGGCGACGAGGGGTGGAGGGAGAGGAGGGGTATGCTGCTATGATGAGATGCTGATGATGTTGATGATGACTGCCGATGATGGATGATGATGATGATGATGATGATGATGCTGATGCTGATGCTGATGCTGATGATGATGCTGATGCTGATGCTGATGATGATGATGATGATGATGATGATGATGATGATGATGATGATGATGGTGATGATGATGATGATGATGATGATGATGATGATGATGATCATGTTGATGCTGACGATGATGTTGTTGATGATGATGATGATGCTGATGGTGATGCTAATGCTCATTCTGATTATGATGATGGTGGTGGTGGTGATGCTGCTGCCTCTCCTGATGATGACGATGCTGGTGATGGTGATGATGATGATCCGTATCTCAATGCTGACGCCGATGATGATCAGGAGGGGCAGGATGACCATTGACAGATTGATGCCTTGGGTGATTGTGATTCCGATGTTGATGACTATCCGGGCGTGTCGCAAATAGCCGAACCCGTCTTCAGCACCCGCGGGCATCATGTACACTGTGGACACCAGCGCGGTCAAGGCGGGCCCTTCAGTTTGTGGTGCCGTGTAGCGTCTGAGTTTGGCAGAGTCGTGTGATGCCCCACCCGTGCTCCTCAGTCTCCTCCTGGCCCTCTTCTCTTGATCATCTTCTCAGCCCCCTCCGCCTCCTTCGTGGAAGCAATCGTCGTATTCCTCTTTGTCTTTTTGTCATCCCCCTCTCGTTGTACCATTTCACCGTCTTATTATGATGCGTCTCCGTATTGTTATCTTTATTGCGAAGGCCTCACGGCCGGTGCCGCCGACCCTGACGGACGTCGACGACGGCCACGACGACGACGACGACGACGACCGCGAAGACATGGTGGCCATGCCACATGCTGGGGACATGAGGCGAGGGACTTGGAAGAAGAGGAGGCGGAAGAGAAGGGGGGACAAAGAAATGGAGGCGGAGGAGGAGGAGGAGGCTTAACGAGGAGGGGCGGGATGAGGATCAGAGAAAGGGCGGAGGAGGAGGATTTGGGAGGAGGATTGGAAGCAGGAGGAGAGGGAGGAGGAGGGAGAGGAGGAGGAGGAGGGTGATGAGGAGGAGCGGGATAGAAAATGATAATGAAGAGGAAGAGGTGAAGGAGGACGGGGCGATGACGATGACGATGGTAGGGAGTGGGAGGAGAAGCAGGATGAGGCAGGAGGAGGAGGACGAGGAGGAGATGAAGAGACGAGAGGAGGAGGAGAGGAGGAGGAGGAGGAGGAGGGAGGAGGAGGAGGAGGAGGAGGAGGAGGAGGAGGAGGAGGAGGAGGAGGAGGAGGAGGAGGAGGAGGAGGAGGAGGAGGAGGAGGAGGAGAACGGAAGAGGTGGAGGAGGAGGAGGAGGAGGAGGAGGAGGAGGAGGGAGAAGAGGACCGATCACAAGGAGGCCGTGGAGGAGGGGCGGAGAGAGGGGGGGAGAGGGGAAAGGAGTGCACGGGAGGTTGGTGGGGATTCTCTCCAGGACCACGGGACCTCCTCCTGGACCGGAGATCCTCCCTGGGATCTCCCTCGGGACCTCAGGAGGGGGAGGGGAGGGAAACGGGCGGCGGGGGGGCGAGAGGAAGATGGGGGAAAGGGAAGGGTGAGGGGGGATGGGAGTTGGAGGAGGTGTCGGAGAGGAGGGCGGGGGAAGGACTGATCACAGGGAGGTTGTCGTATCTGACCCCCCCATTCCCCCCACGGGACCCCCCCATGACCCCCCCCGCAGTGGGGAAGGGATGAAAGGGAAGGGGCTTCTCTTTGACGTGATTGCGACAAGGCTCGATTTCCCTCGGGCTGGCGCTCTTCAGGAGGGTAGGACGCAGGGAGGGGACGACGAGGACGACTGACGCAAACGACGACTTCAACGGACAATCCCCACGCACATGCCGACAGGGTCCGCAGATTTTCGGCGGCGGACGGTGCAAATTGTGGGAGTGCGTGCGCGGGATTCCGATTGTCGTCGACCCTGACAGCGGCAACGCCGTGAACGACAGAGGTGGCGACGGCGGTGGCGACGAAGACGGTTGCGACGACGAAGACGGTTGCGACGACGACGACGACGACAATGACGACGGTGGCGAAGGTGACGGTGACGACGAAGACCGCCGTTCCCGCACACCCAAAGCGACGCCGAGCGCATCGACGCCGCGCAGACTAGTTGGATAAACATTTGCGCTGGGGGATGGCTGCGCTTGATTAATGCTCGCCGTTTGGCCTGGCGGTGGGGTACAAGCGGCGAGCTGTCTTGTGATTCGCGAATTGTGTGGTTTCGGTTCTAGAGACGGCGTCGTGGCCGGGGCATGCTCCCGCCAGATTTTGTTTCAGGATCGTTTTCAAAAAATGGCGCGGCGTTGTGCTAACGGGGGCTTTGTCCATCCCCGAATGCAGGAATCATACTTCTGACGGTTGAACAGCATCATGAGGCAGACGATGAGGAGGAGGAGGAGGCGGAGGAGGAGGAGTACGGTCGGGAACTTTGGGATAACGTGTCGCGCCTCCGCTTTAGGCCCACCGCGTTCCTGTGCGACACGCTATCCGCTCCCTGGCGCCCGAACGTCCACTTCCCGAGCCGCTCGGGGCCTCTGGCCCCGCGAAGAGGTGCGACGCGCTATCCGCTTGGGGGGGATGCCGTGTCGCAGGGGCCGCCGGGGCGACGCGTTATCCAAGAGTTCACGACCGTAGGAGCGATGGTCGAGGAGGACGGCGCGGATAATTGGCACCACAACAATCCAGGATCGGCGATCGACGCTCGAGATAGAGGTTGGCCTTGTTGCTCGTCCGTGGGCCACTGGGCCCCCCCCCCTCGGAGCAAGGGCTCCCACGAGGGCGCGAAGTTAGTCGCGCTTCGCGCTTTGTGGTCCTCGTTCCTTCTCCCCCTCCTCCTCGTCCTCTTTTTCTCCCTCCGGGGGGCGGCGCGAGAGCGCGAAGTTATTCGCGCTTCGCGCTTCGCGGAGCGCGAAGCGCGAACTTGGTAGCCCTTGTCGGAGGAGGAGAGGCAAACGGCGGAGGAGGATGAATTTGAGGGAACTGGTGATTCGAGGAGGAGGAGGGCGAGCAGGATAATGAGAAAGAGGAAGAGGAGGAGGAGGAGGAGGAGGAGGAGGAGGAGGAGGAGGAAGAGAAAGGAGGAGGAGGAGGAGGAGGAGGAGAGGAGGAAGAGAAAGGAGGAGGAGGAGGACGAGAAAGGAGGAGGAGAGGAGGGGAGGAGGAGAAAGAGGAAGAGGAGGAGGAGGAGGAGGAGGACGAGAAAGGAGGAGGAGGAGGAGGAGGAGGAGGAGGAGGAGGAGGAGGAGGAGGAGAAGGAGAAAGAAGGAGGAGGACGATGCCGACGTCGACGTCGAGGCCACGCTTGTTTCCCACATCCTGAGTTGGTCTCGTGTTTTCTCTGCGCGCCCCGCGCAGACCTCCCACACGCATCCCCCCTCGTCTCTATTCCTCACACTCATGCGCTTCGCGGTTCGGGGCTCCGTCTCTTCCTCATCCTCTTCTTCACCCTTGGGGGTGGCGTGAGAGCGCGACGTTCTTCGCGCTTCGCGGAGCGCGAAGCGCGAAGGTACGAACCCATGCTCAATTTCTCATCTTTCATACATCAGCACACCCATCAGTCATTACTCATCAACTGCAATCACACTCAACACTCATCTCATCACTCGCTACTCACCACTCATCACTCATCAGTCATCACCCATCACTCATCATCATTCCCAGTCAGCATCGTCATCACTCCCCACAACCTAAGTGGAGGTCTTGTTCCCTTGGCCCCTCCGGCTTGAAGTTGGAGGAAGGCCCACGCGGAAGCCTGGTTTCCGAGTGGCATTGGGGGAAGTCTCAGGCGGGAGCCCTCCCTCTAAGGGGTCCGCAGTCAGTTGTAGACTTTCAGAGGGTCATTGGAAACATATTACTGTCGTCACTTTGGGGCCTCTCAGGCTTCAACGCGGAGGAAGTCGCATGCGGGAGCCTTGTTTCTGAGTGAAATTAGCAGAGATCTTAGGGGGGAGCCCTTTGCCTACGGGGTCCGCAGCCACTCTCGGATTTCAGAGGGTCATCGGAAACATAGCACTGTCGTCATGCTTTGTCTTATCAGGCTTGAAATTCGAGGCAGATTCACGCGGGAGCGTCGTTTCTGAGTGAAATTGGAGAATGTCTCAGGCGGGAGCCATCTTCCTGAGGGGTCCGCAGCCAGTTGTAGAATTTCAGAGGGTCATCGGTAACAGACCGCTGTCGTGACTTTTGGGCCTCTCTCAGGCTTGACATGGGAGGAAGGCTCACGCGGGAGCATGGTTTCTTAGTGAACTCGACAGATGTCTCATGCGGGAGCCCTCTCCCAAAAGGGGCCTGCAGCCAGTTCTCGAAATTCAGAGGGCATCTTTGGCGGGAGCCCTCTCTCTTGTGGGGTCCGCAGCCAGTTCTCGAATGTCACAGGGCCGTCGGAAACAAAATGCTGTCGTCACTTTTGGGCCTCTCGGGTTTGAAATTCGAGGAAGTCTCACGCGGGAGCGTGATTTCTGAGCGAAGTTGGAGGGCGGGAGCCCTCTCCCGAAAGTGGCCTGCAGCCAGTTGTAGAACTCGAGAAGGTCATCGGGAGTCTAATGCTGTCGCTACTTTTGGGCCTCTCAGGCTTGAAGTTGAAGGAAGTCTCACGCGGGAGCTTTGTTCCTGAGTGAAATTGGATGAAGTCTCAGGCGGAAGCCCTCCGCCTAAGGGGTCCGCAGCCAGTTCTTGAATTCCAGAAGGTCATCGGAGTCATACTGCTGTCTTCAATTTTGCGCCTCTCAGGCTTGAAATTCGAGGACGTCTCACGCGGGAGATTCGTTTCTGAACAAAATTGGCAGGAGTCTCGGGCGGGAGTCCTTTCCCCAAGGGGTCCGTAGCCAGTTGTAGAATTTCAGAGGGTCATCGGAGACACAATCGTTGTCGTAACTTTTGAGCCTCTCAGGCTTGAAATTCGAGGAGGTCTCACGCGGGAGATTCGTTTCTGAATGACATTATTGACAGAAGTGTCGGGCGGGAGCCCTTTCCCAAAGGGGTCCGCAGCCAGTTCTCAGATTTCAGAGGGTCATCGGAAACAGACTACTGTCGTGACTGTTGGGCCTCTCAGGCTTGAACTCGGAGGAAGTCTCACGCAGGAGCCTCGTTTTTCTAAGTGACATTGTAGGACATCTTTGACGGGAGGCCCCTCCCTAGGGGGTCCGCAGCCAGTTGTAGAATTCCAGAGGGTCATCGGAAACATGCAATTGTCATCACTTCTGCGCCTCTCAGGCTTGAAATGGGAGGAGGTCTCACGCGGGAGCTTGGTTTCTGAGTGAAATCGACATATGTATCATGCGGGAGCCCTCTCCCTAAAGGGGCCTGCAGCCAGTTCTTGAAATTCAGAGGGCCATCGGACACAACAATTCCGTCATCACTTTTTGGGTTTCCGGGTTTGAGATTGGAGGAGGTCTCACGCTGGAGCCTTGCTTTTTGAGTGCAATTGGATGAAGTCTCAGGCGGAAGCCCTGTGCCTAAGGGGTCCGCAGCCAGTTCTCGAATCTCAGAGGGCCATCGGAAACATCAAACTAACGTGACTCTTTGGCATCACAGGCTTGAAATTGGCGGAACCTTTATTTCTGAGTGAAATTTGATGGAGTCTGCAAGTTCTTGGATGATAAATGGTCATCGGACATGGAACAGTCGTAACTTTTGTGCCTCTCAGGCTTGAAATTCGAGGAAATCCCACGCGGGAGCTTCGTTTCTGAGTGAGATGATTGACAGAAGTCTCAGGCGGGAGACCTTTCCCAAAGGGGTCCGCAGCCAGTTGTAGAATTTCAGAGGGTCACCCTAAACATGGAACAGTCGTCACTCTTGGGCCTCTCCGGCTTGAACTCGGAGGAAGTCGCACGCCAGAGTTTTGTGTCTGAGTGGACTTGGAGGAAGCCTCAGGCGCCAGCGTCGTTTTTGAATGAATTGCCGGGAAGTCTCACGCAGAAGGCCCCTCCCTATGGTGCTCGCAGTTTATGTATTTGGCGGAAAACAACGAGGAGGAGAAGGGACGTCGAGGGAATTGGGTGGAACCGCGGGGAAGCGTATCTGACCCGGGACTTCCCTGGTACCCCCTCCCCTCCCCGGCGGGAAGGGAAGGGAAGGGACTTCCCTCGACGTCTTTCTGTAATTTGGTGGAACCGCGGTATTCGCGGGCTTCCTGGAGAGGCGTCGAGAACCGAACAACGCATTCCACACGTCGACAGGGTCGGCGGATTCGTATGGTTATGCATCATTTCTTTGGTAGTTCTATCAGACTTTGTCGTATTCGTTTATTCATACGGTTCCCGACTCTTCTTCTTAGTCTCATTCTCTTCTTTTTCCTCTTCCTCCTCCTCCTCGTCCCGCTCCTTGGACCAGATATTCAGAATCCCAATCATCGTCATCCCCCGTGTTGTTCCTCCTGCTCCTTATCCTGGTAATTCATCTCCGACGCCTCATCGTCTACCCTGCTCCGCCTTCTGATCCCTCTCCCCCGCCCCTCCTCTGTCCGCTCTCCCACCTTCTTTTCTTCTCCCCGTCTCCCTCTCCCTCCCTTCACCTCCCCCATTCCCTCCCCCTTCCCGTTTCCCGCCGTCTCCGCCTCCGCCTCCGCTTCCGCATCCTCGTATCAACGTGTGTAAGGGGGAGGCATGCTTGCAAACGAAAGTATTCAGGATTGGCGGATATGCGCGCATGTACATGTCCTGAGTGCGTGCGTGCATATGCTGCCACATGACAGAGGCATGCATGCAACTCACATTTGACAATTGTCAATGGGTAATTTGTTTCAAAGCATCTAACTCGCACAACGCGCCTAATCTCCACGAGTGACATGTGGCATGTATGCCTGGACACCGTGAGCTCGCACGTACTAGGAATGGACATGGGCTTTGGGTCAGAAGGATGCCCTCGCTTCCAAGCGGAGCATGATCAAATACTGTCCTGGAGGTCACCCGCAACTATTTGCCGCTGGAAGTGGCCGAGCCCGTCACGTTTGCAGGGGACCTGCTGCTCCTCAACCTAGACGAGTCGCAGGACCCCCCTGGCCACCTGATGGTGGACACTCTGCCGCCACCGTGCGCCGATTCTCCGCTCTCCGCCAGTGCTTCTCGCCCCCCTCGAGACTGGCACCCTCCCGACCTGGCCGTCCCGGCTCCTCCGACCTCCCTTTTCTGCACGGGGACAAGAGTATTCGTTCGAGAACGGCACTGGTCCATTCCGTCGTTGAGCGAGCGAGCGAGCCTCCCTCTCGTTCGTCGCTCCGCCCTCCTCCCGTCTCGCTCCTTCGCCCCCCTCCGCCCTCCCCTCTCCCCTCCCGTTCTGCCCCCCGCCCTCATCCTCCTCTCTGCTCCCTGTTCCCTCCTCCCAATCTGACCGCCGCCCCCCCCCTCCCTCCCTCCCTCGCTCCCTCCGTCGCCCTTCTCTCCCTCCCCCCCCGTCCCCTCCTCTGCCCTCCCGCTCCGCTCTCTACCCTCTCGCTTCCCCCTGCTCTCTCCTTCTTCCGCTGTCGTCCCTGCCCATTGCTCCCCGATTCCTGCCCCCTGATCCCTCCCCGTCCCCCGAGGAGGAGGAGGAGGAGGAGGAGGAGGAGGAGGAGGAGGAGGAGGAGGAGGAGGAGGAGGAGGAGGAGGAGGAGGAGGAGGAGGAGGAGAGGAGAAGGAGGAGGAGGAGGAGGAGGAGGAGGAAGAGGATCCCGCCAAAGTCCAGGGGAGGGGGTGGGGAGGACACCTCTTCCATGCTCCCTCCTCGCTCCACCGCGCCCCCTCGCTCTGGACTTCCTCCGATCCGTCGACGACGCGTGCGGCGTGGCCTCGCTCTCCTCCCTCGTGTGGCATCTCCTCCCACGCTCGGGAGCTCAACAAGGCGACGCTCCCTGCGTGCTCCTCAGTTCACCCAGCCCTGGGCCGCCCCGAGGAGGAAGAGGAGGAGGAGGAGGAGGAGGAGGTGGAGGAGGAGGAGGAGGAGGAGGAGGAGGAGGAGGAGGAGGAGGACGAGGACGAGGAGAAGGAGGAGGAGGAGGAGGAGGAGGAGGAGGAGGAGGAGGAGGAGGAGGAGGAGGGCCTTAGCCTCGCGCCTGCAGCCGCGACCTCGCCAGCGCCACTCTCTTCCCCCGCTCTCCCCTTCGAGGTCGTGACTGCTCTCCTCTGCTATCTTTCCTCCATCGTGTCCGCCTGCCGCCCTACGTTCAACTTGATTTTTCCCCCCAGCAGGCGACTTCTGGAGCGAACGCTCCTGGAGTCGCCTGGTTCCTGCTTTGATCATGTCCTCAGGGCCGACCGGCCCTGTGGGGGTGGCAACGTCCGTGCGACCTTCCTGCCATCAGTGTCTCGGTGTCTCCGGAGGAGGAGGAGCAGGACCAGTGCAAACCCAAGACTCATCAACGATGTTGCAGTACACCCTCCCTCCAAGTTCCACCCGCACAGGCTCCTACAAGGATTTATTATCACTGCGGGAAGAGCCCATTTGGAAGAGAACCGTCTGAGGATTTTCAACCGTGCGAGAGCACCATGACTGGGGCTTCGACGCCGCGAATCAGTGGTACTGTTGCGACCTGGCGATCCTGAATCGTGCCAAAACGCCATTCCTGGGACCTCAACACCGCGAATCAAAGTGACTGTTGTGCCCAGCCAGTCCTACATCATGATATTAAAACCACTTCTGGGACGTCAGTCATAAGAATCCTTGAAACTGCTGTAAGCTCTTCAGACGACTCTGCGCAGCGCTAAGGCGAGAGCCACATTTTGAAAAAGAGCCGCGCTCCATCCCGTGAACTTCCTGCAAACTTCTAAGACGAATGTGCGTGGCGCTAAGGCGAGAGCCACAGTTCGAAAACCGCCCGCCCTCCACCCGTGAAGCTCTTGCAAACTTTGAACACGGACATGCGCGGCGCTGGGGCGAGAGCCACATTCTGAAAACGACTCGCCCTCCAGCCGCGAAGCTCTTGCAAACTTTTTGGCCAGATCCTGCAAAACCTGACTGACCTGGATTTGCATTGACACGGGTCAGTGCGTCCCCGATCGGTACTGACTGATCCTGCCTTCTCCTGAGGTCTCTTCGCCGGACCCCCCCGCGAAGACGTGGGAAGAAGCTTCTCCGAAGGCCCGAGGGCCTCTGAGAAGTCCCGCCGCCTTCTGGGGAGGCCTTCTCTCCTTCTCACTTCCCCCCCCCCTCCCTTGCCGCCGCAAAGAGGAGGAGGAGGAGGAGGAGGAGGAGGAGGAGGAGGAGGAGGAGGAGGAGGAGGAGGAGGAGGAGGAGGAGGAGGAGGAGGAGGAGGAGGAGGGAGGAAGGCGGAGGAGGGAGGAGGTAGGAGGAGGAGGAGGAGGAGAGGAGGAGGAGGAGCAGGAGCAGGAGGAGGAGCGGAGGAGGAGGAGGAGGCGGAGGAGGAGGGAGGAGGCAGGCGGAGGAAGAGGAGGAGGAGGAGGAGGAGGCGGAGGAGGAGGAGGAGGCGGAGGAGGTGAGGAGGAGGAGGATGGAGGAGGAGGAGGAGGAAGGAGCAAGAAGCAGGAGGAGCAGGAGAAGCAGGAGAGCAGGAGGAGTACGGAGGAGGAGGAGGAGGAGGTAGGAGGCGGAGGAGGAGGAGGAGGAGGAGGAGGAGGAGGAAGAGGATGATGATCAGGAGGAGGAGCAGGAGAAGGAGGAGGAGGAGGAGGAGGAGGAGGAGGAGGAGGAGGAGGAGGAGCAGGAGGAGGAAATGGAGGAGGAGGAGGAGGAGGAGGATTTTTTTTTAACATCGACAACTGCCAAGCCATACTCTCTGGGGGGACGGCGCCTCCCCCCAGAGGAGGGGGCAGGGCTGGGTGGCGCCACCTGCCACTTTCGCCACCAGCCTTGCCCCGCCGCTGACGTCACACCTGCCGTGCAGCCCACCACAGGCGTGAACCCGAAGAAGACCTCAACGGACAGGAGCACGCACGGCATCATGAAGAGCTGCCAGAGTCGTCCCAATCCTCGTCGAACAAACGCCTGAGACACGAACTGTGCCACGATGTACGGCAGCGCGGACAGGCTGCCACAAACGCACCACGAGGAATGGGCATTCCGCATGCCCTGCATGAGCACCTCCCTGGCCCGCGTCGCCGACGAACGAGGGAACCACCGCAACGGGCGCAACCAGGATCAGAACCAGAGACCTCGAGCAGCCACGGCGGTACATCAGGCAGCCGCCGCACGAGGCCCGCCTCACGGATCGCCTCGCTGATCTTCTCGCTGTAGTCCTCC